TATACTGTTATTATAATATCGGCATAATAGCTATCTGGTCCAGAGAATTCCGGAGTCCTATATTCATCTATCACCTCGACATGTTGGCGACGTTATCGAAACCCCACAAACAGTTTTTATGAATCTCAATTTCATTGTTACTCTCGCGGTGTCGTACGCAGTTGCGTGCAACAGTGAAACAAGAATAATTGATGTTTTGCACGTGGCTGACTGTGTTCCTAGCTCCGTGACGAACGAACCAATTTGGTTTGTATAATGTATTTTATTCACATTATAATTTTTTAAGGGTTTCTCAGGACTCCCATATTTTTTTTTAGTCCTTAGTCTTGCTTATTTGACCTGAATAATTATGTTGAGATTGTTGATAGCTACCAAACTACAAACACCGACAATATTGCGGTTAATATATATTTGGGAAAATTGTTCAGATTAAGACCGATTTATATTATAATATTGTTATATATAGAAAGGTATGCAGTTTCGAAAGCCAATAAAATGTTTAAATTAATTAACTATTAAAAAAAAAAAAAAATTACAATTACTATTTTTACTAATGAATTAGGTATATAGTAAATATACGAGTACATCGATTATGTGTTTTTTTTTATTTTGATTTTTCTACGTCCACATCTAGTTTTTGAAAGTATATTATTGCTATAATACTATAAATAAGTATACTATTGGAGTTGTTTGATAAACGTGTTTAGGTACAACGGCTGGTGTCTAAAACAATAACGCTAAGATTTTAAACAATTTTAATATTTTATTCAGAGGAGAAAACTTATGTTGTGCGCGCAATATACTCGCTGCGTATTTATGGTGTTATGATACTATAACTGTTATAATAATGGTGAATCTGACCTGACCTAGGTTTGTAATACATTTTGCTTTGAATTCTTTAAATCTTTCTATTAAATTTAACTTTTAGAAAAAATATAAAAATGTGGGGCATGCATACTACTGAAGTTATTTGCTTTAACATTATTTTCGACTTTTTATCATAATGTGTATTACAAACGAGGGTGTAATAATCTCTATAAAAGTGTAAGTGTAACGTAGATATATGCATAAAACAAATTTTACTTGCTTCTGGAAAAAATACATTTCTAAGATCGTACATAAAATATTTTTACGTTAGTGTTCGTTAGAATTTGCATTGAAAGTAGGCACTAAATAAAAGGAATATAGCCATGAAAATTTTCATACATATTTCAAATTTTTTATCAAAAGTTTAGAATAGGATATTGATGTTTAAAGCAATAATATATTCTGACTAAAGAATTAAAAATATGAAATTAAAAAACCGGAAAAACATTTTTCATTGCATCTTAAGATACCGACCACAAGACATTTAATATAATAGATGTATAAAAATATTGCAATCAAAAAACGAAAAGAGTATTATTTGTAGAATTTAAATTTAGTTGGTGTATTGAAATATTTTTGATTTTCTAAACAGTTTTCATAATAATCGGGAGAAACCAGAAAAAAACCAAAGCGGGAAAATAGGTACAATTTAAAAAAATATTATTAAAGAAAATAATATACAATTAATATATGTAATTATTTACTATAGTATGATGTGTATAAAATTCATTGTTGCCAGCAACACTATCAACCGAACACCGCTCAGAATACTTTTTTCGTTATTAACGGTTAATCATTATATAAAGATACACACTAAATTTTTCCTCTTCTATCTTCCAAACTATTAACCTACAATAGTGGCTGCACCCGTGCCCATTATCCTAGGATAGTTTTTTTCATGTTATTCAGTTAAAAATATTCGTGGAGACTTGAAATTTTGACAGAGAATTCATATTTGGGTTTTCTAGACATTTGAACCATTTTGAATTATTTATAGTCATCTAAATTTTGTGAAATTTTTACGTAATTTTTATTTGGTAGTTACTTTTTAGATAAAAATTGTTAGACTAAACAGAAATTCTCGATTAGGAGGTTAATTATAAGCCATAATCAGTGGCCAAGAAAAAAAATGAGTGTAATTTAGTATTTTTCATTTTTCATTAGAGATTTAAAATCAAATTCTAACAATAATTTTAAATATTATGGCCTTTCAAAACATGTATAACCGAACTTCGCTTCTAATTGATTTCCATTATCAATGGTTCATCTCAGATAATAGGTATAAATTAAATAACTGAATGTATCCTACCTTCTCGACTACCTACCTACAACAGTGACCACACACGTCTCCAATATCAGCTTTATTTTGATGCTTAATTATATTAAATTAATGTTTTGATAATATTACAATTTTTCGATTTTGAGCTTGATTAGTCATTTATAAAAACATAACAAATATCGATTAAATTATTTATTATTTAGGTATAAACATTTAATATTCAGAAAAAATGTGAAGAGCGGTAAAATTTCATGGGGTTTACAATAATTAGTTCTTGACATTTTTCTAAGACCTTGCCAAACTTTTCAATCCTTTTAAATAATAAATCGATATGATATTTTAATATTCAATACGAATTTATGTATTCAAACATATACTCAACTCTTTAAAATGAGTTTCATACTTGAATAAATAAAACTTTGTACCTTTATACTAATAAATTAAGAACTTTTAATCTTATTTATTTATTTCAATAATAACTATTAAAAATTTAAAATCCTACTTTTGTTCTTATTTAACAGTAATTTAAATCATGATTTTTACATAGTTCTAGTTTCAATTATAATTACTTCAAAACTTCATAAAAAATTGTTTGGATATATTTATAAATAATATTATAAAAGTCGCCAAAATTACTTATGGTGCCTATATTATACATATTAGTTATCAAACTTTGTTTTGTTCTTTGTAGAAAATATGTAATATATTTCTGTTTGTGTACAAAATATTCTTGACAATTTATCATGTAGGCCCTACATTATAGGGTGTGTAACGTAGTATTGCTAAAATTATAGTAATATTTATATGTACTTATTATACCCGTATTATTCTACATACTCTATAATAGGTTGTAGGCTTATATTATATTGGGATCTAAATTTAAGGGGTCTGCACTCTAGTGGCAGTTTATTGTATCAAAATAAGGCTTAATTCAGTTAGTGCAGTACAATATTTCTGATGACGAAGTAGGGATGAACATTTTAAATAATAAAACATATAGAATGTGATGTAAACAAATATAAGATTACCCTTTTAAAATAAACGAAAGATAAATTTAGATCCTAATTTAGTATATTTATTGTATCTATTATAATACGACATTTGAATCTATTTACAAAGAAATATTTTTTACTCTAGTTTTATTTTTAGAGATAACTTTATTCACTAATTTCGGTAGAAGTAGGTACTAAGTTAGCTCTAATCTCATCAATATTGTTTTCAACGGAGTCACTCATGATTTAGTACATAATATTATAATTATTATTATTTATACAAATTAATTATAATTTTGATTTGTTCACCTAACCTCATATAAACACACAAAGTTACGCTCGTCATGCTTTTGAAATAGCGGATAAAACAAGTAGGTACTAAAACTGCCACTTTAAGCGGCTGCGCTTAATAGCCCAGAGTTCCGACCTTATCTTTTCTAAAACCGTGGATCGAATCATAAGCATTATCTCGCCACAGTATATACCTGTAATCGTGGTCATTTACGTCAACCCATATTTGTCGGTATATCTTCTTTATACATTCGCAATACGCGTGCTGATATGTGCGGAACCGTTATACGATTAATACTAAATCGTCTTACATTAGGACCGGGCTCTTAAATAATACATCATTTAGCGACAAACCCGAATCTTAACTCAGTAGGAGGAAAAACAAAGACCATTGAAGGAAGGGGAAGGGAGCTATAATCTTTGTGCACTCTCCTCAAAAAAACCTAGATGTGCCATGGGAGTTGAAATAAAATATATCTTTTACCTAATATAGATACTTACACTTTTTTTTTTACAAATTTACATAATATTAAACAATAAGGTATATTTTAAAACTCCCTGAAAATGTTAAAATCTTGGACACAAACAAATTTTGAGTTTTATACTTTTAATAAATAATTAATATAAAATGCATAAGTATTAAAAAACAATATTTATTTTTCATATTTTTACAAATATGATAAATAAGACCTGATAATAAATTATCATTTTTGTTATCGATAACCGTTGGTAAGTCTAATCAAATTTGTTGGTCTAATTGTAAAAAAAAACGTTGGTAAAACAGATTATAGAGGGGTATGGTCAACGCGAATTCAAGGTCTTGATAAATAATGCCCAATCGCTTAAATATTAAAATAATAAAAAAAAAAAGACAACATAGATATTATTCATATCTTTGAGTTTAATATTAGGTTAATTCGTTCTAATTTTAAAATGAATAGTAAAAAATTGTCCCTGCTGTACGAAAATTTGTTATTGTATTGCACTATTGTATGACAGAGACAACGCATATGAGTACGACGGCCTTTATTTTATAGTGAGTAAGGCCTTTTCTTTTCAGAAGATTCCGGGGTTTTCGAGCACCTCAAAGAGTCAAATATTATTCAGTCGAGTCTTCTGTCATCATTTGAGAGAGCTTAGCTTCCTTAGTGCTCCATATCACATCTACTAACTAATACTTTGAATTAAGTAGTATATTTATACCTATGTTTCAATTTCATAATGAAATATATTTTCTTATTGATTTTTACTGTAATCACTAACTTTGTTCCTATAAATATAACCGACTCAATAATCAATTTGGTCGTGATATAGTGTCCCCGTCTGATCCCATCTACACTCTCACCCGTCCCTCTGACATCTGTTGAACGATAAGTAGTTTAGACGTAAGTATCCTCAAGGTCTACAACAAAGAAAACATTTTTATAATTTTATTAAAGAAAATACTAATTTTTATACAAATATAAATTAAAATACAGTGAAAATTTAATAACCAGAGCTTATTTGTTTATTTAAAAACATTACGGAAAAGTCCAATTATGTATTACATTTAAGTATATATTAAGTAAAATTTAAGCATTTATTGAACCATCTAAGAGTTTATGTAGAAATGATAAATTTGCAGCTGCTCTTCTATTAGCCAGTAATGTGAAGTTGAGTACGCTAAGGACAGGAAAATAGTCATCTGGGGCATGACCAATCTTCAGAACATAAAAAGCGAATGATAAGAAGCATCTTTGGATGCGCTTTAGTTGTAAGTAGCTTGACGCTGTGTGAGTATCCCATAACACGGGTTCATATTCAATAATAGATCGAACTAAGGAACAATAAAGAGATTTTAAAGAATACTCAAGCCTAAATTCAGAGGCTATTCGCTTGACTAAACCTAGTACATTGAGAGCTCTGCAAGAAGATAATTCAATGTGTGGATGAAAGTCAAATGTAGGAATGTAAATAAAACCCAAGTCTCACACTCTTCACCGATACAAAAGTAGAATCATAGGTCTTGTATTGAAAAGAAATAACAGATCGGCATTTAGCGAATGTCATAGTTTGAAACTTCTTCATATTGAGGCTTAGATCCAGTGAATTCAAGTAGGAAACTACATCGTTCAAACTAGATTGCAGTAAATGACAATAAATTTATTAAGCTAATTTTGTGGGCCAGTTTAAGGTCGTTAGCGAAAACAAGGAAATGGCAGTTGGGCAGCATTCGTTTCAAACCGTTTAAGAATAAGGCAAATAATAACGGTGGTTAATGGCCACATTGGGGAAGGTACCGTAGTAGTCACTGTTTGCTGACCGTTTGTCTTGATCCATTGTGTTCTATTTGCTAGGTATGACCCAACCCATGATAGGAGGTGATCTCTAAAGCTTGACTTGTAAAGAACTTGTATAAGGGCTGAGTGGTCTACACAGTCAAAGGCCTTTGATAAATCAATAAATATTGTATTTACCTGGGAGTGGTTTTCAAAGGCCTCAATGATATAATTATTGAACACAATTGAGCTCATCGTAGCGGAACGGCCCGGTTTGAAGCCATACTTTTCATCTATCAGTATGAAGTTAACAGATGGCTGATAACAAGAGATTCAAACAATTTTGCTGTTAATATTAGTACCTAGGTATATTACGTTTATTACTTTGTATATTATTGTACATGCCAATATTAATTAATGAATACTCATTAATGTTGTTTAATTATTATTATTATTATTATTATTTATAAATATCGACAAAATTAAAATATAACTATGATAAGAATTGTTGTTTTGATTTTCATTGATAATAAATTAAATTCATAAATTATAAAGTCCTGGCGCATGTTTAATAAGGAATTAGAATTTTTCGGAATTGTCCCAACGCAGATTCAATCTTTTATTTCTTAAAGTACGCTGAATCCAAAAACAAATGTATCGGCACCGTTTACACCTTTAGGCATGTATAAAATGAAACGACAAGACATGCCGCGATATCTTATTGTGAGTCCACCTCAAAGCGCTATCTCATAGTCTACAGTATTCCCTAAATTTTTTATCTATCTAGAAAATCTCGTATTAAAACTTAGCCCTACAAGTATCATGTTTATGTTATTATTAACTTCGACCATATACACAAGTATATTATAGGGAATGTTATAGAAATACTATTTTTTTCAAAAAATGTTAATTATTTTTTAACACTAAAATTATTAAAACATATAATTCAAAAGAGCATTGTCACATCAATTATTATGAAAAAAATAATATAATCCAGTCTTCCATAGAAGTTTGTTGAATATAATTATATTAAGATAATCATAAGACAGTTATACGGGCAGAGTTATTTTTGATTTTATGTGAATAATAAAATATATTATAGGCTATGATTGGTATGTGATACATTTTTTCTGTAATATGAAAATTATTTTAAATTAATTACAATTCTATAAGTATATGTATCGCTTATTCATCATGACAAAATCAAATGCTTCAGTACAATTTGAACTCTATATTATATTATTGAATATGATTATCGTTAAACAACGATATATTTACAAAAATACGTAATAAGTCATCACCACTAAATACAGAGTTTATTTACAGCTTCGTACTCGTATTAAACAAACAATATTATTATTAAATTTAATTTAATGAAACAATGATAAATAGTAATTCAATTTCAAAATTCGAACGCTGAACTAAAATTAATTTAATTTTCTTCCGAGCCTTTCTTTTAAAAATGTATATAATGTATATTATATACATATAGATACCACCAAATACAATGTTATTACAATAATATACTACTCGTATATTATTAAATATAGTATAATATAGAGTAAATTTCATTATATTAGGCAGCTAAGGTATGTATGATAGTAATACTGTGGTCAAATAGAAGTTTTATATCGTCAGAAGTAGAATACCTTTTTCACATAATTAATAATTCATGAATCATCTACGATGCTGTAGAATGCTTTCGAATCAATTCCAAATCTTAGGTCTTCCATTGAATTTTGTCGAGCTTGCAGTGTATATTATATCCATATGGACATTGCCATTTTCTAGCGATTTCATTTTATCTATACTACAGTATCATGTTAAATAATGCAATTCACTCTTGATTCCTATATTATTCGACTGTACAATTTTTACTTAGTTTATTATATTTTTTCAAATTTTTAAAGCATTTAAACACAAATTTTAACGTTAAAATGGCGTAATCGTTTATGCAGTTTAAATTATTCCGCAACCATGATAGTTGACATAAAAATTTAATTATAATTTAATAGACTTCTTACATTATATAGAGCCATTTACGATTACAAAAATCTTATTGTAAATTATGACTGATTGTTTTAAACATTAAAAAAGTAACTATTGGAAAAATTATGATAAAACAAATATCTAACTATTTAAAACAATGAAATCGTCAACTTCATGATGTCCTAAATATTTGTCTGTTTTTTTTATACATTATTATGGACAAAATTTAGAAAATAATTATTGTGATGCGAAACGAAAGCCTATAACACTAGATATACTGTCCCAGTCTCCGATTGTTGTATTGATATTAAAAAACACTACAATATAAAATTAGAATCACACACGCATTGAAAAGAGTAATACATATTATGCGTATGTGTATTTATTAAAAGAAGGAATCTAATAAAATAGGTATTATAACGTGCAATACATCAGCGTATTATTGAGCGAATAAATAAGATATGCATTAACTGTTTTATTGAAACGGTTTCCGTGTTACTTTTTTTGATGTTGTATTTGTTATATTTGAGTTTCAATTTTCAATCGATAGTAAAAAAAAAATAATAATAATAACAATACGAGCTCAGTCGAAATTGGTTACATAGAAGATCCCTAGGGACAATGACACATATTGTTTGTTACAGCTATTCGAATAAAAAACAATTCGTAAAATATACTATAAATAATATATAATAATATAACATATTGTTTTACTCGCGTTTTTACAGGACAATTTTTTAAGTACACTTGCCCCGTATTAATTATGTTATAATTTAAATATGTTCAGGCACATTGCCAGGGGAGGAGTCTATGGGTTCTGGACTTCCGAAATTTAATCTCCTCACCAAAATTTTTTATATCGATATAAGATGATATTTAGTTACAAAAACTAAAAAAATCTTCTATATAATACAATATTTTTAAAAGGAACCAGATAATACTATACGTTTAGACGATATCCGTAAAATGAAAAACGTATAAAATCAATAAACAATTGTAAGCTATTATATTTAATGGACGCTTATTGGGAAATCAACTTCGCGCAGACGTGCCGAGTGGGTAAAAATTTAAAAATTAAGATACTCTTTGACACTTAAGATTTTAGACGTTCACGGAACACGTATAATTGGACATGATACGATTTCTATATCGGAAGTTTATTATCGCTATTTCACTGTACGCGTTGTTTACTAGCATGGATGGAAATGTCAGATGGCGAAGATGGAGGTAGTGTTGATAGAATAGGTGGATTCGGGGAGGGAAAAGTTTACTCGAAAAAACAACTAAAAGTATTATAATAATGTATTAAAGCTATTGTTTTTATACAATCGTAATATCGCATAATAATAACGTTACGCAATGGTTTCTGTAAATTAAATTATATTACCAAGTATGAACAGAAGTGACGTACTTCTTATAATATGCAATGGATACAATTTTTTAGTGTTTACGTTTGTTGATAATAATAATTTTGTTTGATAAACGATCCGTACATTTATTATAGTTTTGATTTAACGTTTAAAATACTATTATTATTGTGTTTGAATATTATGTTAACAAAATTTGTATTGTTCTCTATAATATACACATAGTGTGATTTATGAATTATTTATAAGTATATAATATGTATACTATATACTAAATTGTTCTAAATTTAGCGGAAAAGTGATTAACGAGTTTGGTTAAGTATGAATTAAAACCGTTACGATTCGTACGACTGACCGAGAATATTATAATACATTAAAATTTATAAAAAAAATATAAATAACATTTTTTTTTTAATGTCTATAAAACAAAATTGTAATATATTTTCGACATTTTGAATTCCTTAAAACAATATTTGTTATACCGTTCTACTGGATTTTAATAATTAATTATTGTGCAGACAATGCCATACATCGTATGGTTGCCAACGATATTTATATAATGACTTATTATTACGAGTATAGGAATGTTGATTTATCATTTTATACTATATTTTTAAATCTGTTTTGAAAATAATATTACTTCATAAAACATGTGTATTTGCGTGTACTAAATTAAACTGATCAGTATAATCATAATTACGAATAATTCCCATATTTGTGGGAGGAGAGAGCTCAAGCGTTCGGGCGTCTATAATATTAGAAAAAAAAAATACGTAGGTATAATGTAGTTATAGCGTTTTCCATCTGATTAAACTCGTGTACACTACACATGGTTAGTGATATCATATTCCATGAGTGTACCTGGTATTATGCTATGAAGTGGCACATAGTAATTGTATTGAAGCAGGAGGGGTGTATCAAGAGATAGGGTAAAAGGAGCAGGTGCTTCTGGTGGCGAGAGTGGCAACATTTTTAAAGGAGGCAAAAAATAATGCGATAACATCGTTTGTAATAAAATTAAAATTAAATATTCAGTTGAATAATTATTAATTATTTTAGTTTACGAATTTACGATGTCATTTGTCGGAATATTTAAAATCGTAATACAATTTAATATTAGGACTATTAGGGAGAGAACGCTCTTGTGGTCTTGTAGACCTTGTTTTCATAATACCAGTGATCATGGGCACCCATAGGTAAAATTTTAAGAAGGGTCAAAATAAAATAGACATCCTAGGATTCCTGAGAAAATCGAAAAATGACCTCTTTTAAGTACCTTAGTGGATTAGGAATCTGAGCAAATCTTGTGGTAGAAAATTCGTGCACAGAAATAAAATTGTTGAGTAGGCCACTATTGTAGGTGAGAAGTTGGGAAGGTATAGGATATAGAGGGGCATTTAATAATTCGTATCTGTACGAAACGATTAACTATTGAAAAATGATTGGGAGCTAA